AGATAACTGATTTGCATTTATTAAGAATTATGGAATTAATAAGTTCATCACAAAATGTTATTTGGAAAACATCCATACAGTAAATCTCAACCCATGTAAAAATAGAAATATAAAGCTGACACATTCCTCGGTTAGGAACTACAGTTCATGATGATTAACTGATTAACACAAACATGCTGGAGCTGTGTGTCTCACTAAACCCGACTCAGTGTGCCCTCCAGTGGATAAAATGAGAAGTTCAGTTAAACATGGAAGCTAAACAAGGGTAGATTTTGTTTTACTGTTACAGTAGCTCACAAGGTAGAGCGCATACCACATATCCTTACTGCAGTGGCCCAGGTTTGAATCCAGCCCTGAGCACTGTTTATCTCTACTGTAACAATATAAGTAAAGCAAAATGCCTAAAACAAAATGTATGTTTCTTTGATGCCAAATAATAAAAATGATCCATCTCCTTGGGTAATGAATAAGAGACGGGGGATGATAAGGGCCACAGATCGAACCCATGGCCGTTGCAGCAAGGACGTACATGGGCCAGCTCTACAAGGTGAGCTACCAGGGCACTGCAGGATAATAAAATCAAACTAGAAAAACATTTATGTCACTTAAAAATCAAGTGAAATTTAGATCTAAAATCTAATCTACAATTTAACAAACTTTCTTACAATGATTATTGTAAAAAAAAATACAAAGTACACCTCAAACACAAACGACTCACCAGAAGATTTACATCTGGCAGCAAGTTGAAGACATCCTGCAGCTGGTAGATGATCTGGTGGTTGATGGGAAGTTTCCCTGCTGTCACTCTCTCCAGGTAAGAGCGGATGTCCAGCAGCTTTGAGTTGAGTCCCTTCAGGCCATGAACCTGATTTGTGATGCGTTGCGACAGAGTGCCGACTGTGGTATCCTTGATATCTCTGTAGGTAAATAGCAGATGAGAAGTTAATGGACATGATTATAAATGAACATGTGAGTTGATAACTCAGTACGTCTTTGCACGTTTGGTGATTACAGTAAAGTAGTACTGTAATTATTTACTGTGGTGATTTAGATTGTGGCAAAGTGTGTAAATTAAAGGTTTGTTTCGTACCTGAGCAGATGCTCCACACCCACTTCCTCTGCTTCCTCAGCTCCAATCTCACTGGTGACGTGTTCAAATGTCTTGGATGTTGGAGTGCCATCCTAAAAATAGTAAATCAAACAATCAATGATTTTTTCACACAAGAAAGTACTTTAGTAATTGGGGTAATTTAATATTGTTTTTGAGGCAGTTAGGGTACTGTGGCCCGTGCTGGACTGGCCACAAAATAGTAATTATTTATTATGAAATTCATAATTCAATAAAAATCTGGTCTTCTGTGTGCTTCCATGCAATCTATGATTCTCTTACATCGTGTATTTCCTCCACAGAGATGTATGCTTCTGTGGGAAGACCAAGATCTTTGGGCTTCACATCTATAATGACTAACACCTGGTAGGATAAAAGAGAAATATACGAGTGAGTTATTCAATACCGGAATGAATATGAGTAAAATACGGTGAAACTGAGGAGAAATTACAAAACATACCGAATTAGTACAGTACTGCTTGATGAGTTCATTGATGGCAATGTCATTCTTATGTAACTTGGGTCCTGTGTGGTACCATCCGACTATTCTTTCTCTGGCTGAAAACCAGGAAAGACAGTTATTCACAAGTACAAAATCAGCGCAACACAGTCAACGTATAACACAACTGAATTATGTAGATGTGGTGTGCCGTACCATTAACTTTCTTGAACATGCCGTACATGTTCTCCAAGTAGTCATGATCCAGGAACCACACTGAGTCATCCCTGTCATCCTCATCAAACGGCACTGGAGACGAACATGGACAGTGGATTAAGGAAGTGACCTCTCTGTGGCAGTCTTAAAATATTTACTGACATTCATTTGCTTCATATTGAGTACCCAATAAATGTCATCTAATGCATATTTAATCTTAAAAAGGACCCTCCAGTGATTTTACACATGATCAGATAACTAACTCAGTCTGTAAAAACAGCTGAGGGTCTATAAAGTCTAAAACTTTACAACCTGTTTTCAGTTTTAATGTAGGATTCTGCTATAAATCTGTAGAATTTGAAACATGCAAGTATGTAGGTAAAATGAAAGATAGTATTAACTTTACTTGCATATATATATATATATAT